CTGGCACCTACCTACCAGCACAAGGGCTGCGCCACCCCCATGTTGCCTCGTTCAGGACATGGCCACGTTTCTCACTCAACATGACTTTCTGCAGAATATAATACCACAGAGAAGAGGAGTAGACTCTTGTTTTGAGTGAGACACACAGGTGCATGTGTGAGTGAAGTGCAAAGGTGTGTGAGAGGAGGAGGAGGAGTACAGGTAGGTGAGGGATTCGAAAGAGGTGATAGAGGAGCGGATGCTGCCTGTGAAGTTATTGTGGCTCAGCTTCCTGCGAAGAAATTGATGGTGGGGTAAGGGGGGGGAGGAGATGAGGTGGTTTGGGAAGACAGATAGCAGGGGAGGGGAGGGGCGGAGGCACGGTGAAAACCTAGATGCATACAGATAAACAATAACTGTGCACGAGGGTGCACGTAGGTACCATGCAGAGGTACCAAGAAGTGCTAACATCGCTGGAGCACCAATGTTGACTGATACATGCCCATGCACTCTCATGCTCACGTGATGCCATGCTCACGCGATGCCATGCTCGCAGCTCTAACGAGCCGCAAAACAAGCAACTCACCCAGTCACATGCACTCATGTGCTCGCAGGCACTCATGTGCTCACATGTGCTCCACTTGCGCCCAGTTGAAAGCCAAGATGTCCTCTGAGAACCTGTTCTTGCTCAGATCCCTGACCAAGTCAACAGAGGCAGGTGGGCCGCGGGCGATACAAAGCAATGGAGGAGATGGGGGGAAGGGGATGTGCCAACTGCACGCAGTTGAAAGCCGAAATGTTCTCTGAATACGTGTTCTTGCTCAGATCCCTGCCGAAGCCAACAGAGGCAGGTGGGCCACGTGTGCGGGCGAGACAAAGCGATGGAGGAGATGGGGGAAGGGGAGGGATGTGGAACGGCCCTCAGGCACTCGGACAATAGTCACGGCTTTAGTCTCTCTCCTTCCCATGTTCACACAGCTTGCCCTCTCATGGTCACTCCATACCAACGTTATCTCACAATTATCCCATACTCACATATACCTCGCAATCACTCCATACCCTCACTGTAAAACAATCACCCCATACCCACACACTCCTTTTCCCTTTTTCATTCGTACCATCAGTGCAAGGCAGCTCTGGGAGTAGCTTCCTGGTTCCTCAAAGCCTTTGGGTCGACTCAGAAGTTACTCCGGCACTAAGAGAAGCTTTTTGAGTCGCCTCAGTGTGGTGCACTCATGCACAAAAGATTTACCGTTGTCAAAGTGCTGCCACTCTCTTCACAACACAACACACCACACCAGTTGGATTTTTTGCGAAATTTCGACCACCAACTACCCTACAGACCACTGCTCCTATGCGCATCCATGCTGCAAGTGCCTCTAGCATGAGTGTTCCCGTGCATGCACACATCAGAGAGAACAGTGGGCTTGCATGCACCACCTACAGCTTACGTGCCTCATGATTCATGCATGTCCGCTTGCAAGTCAAGTACTGGAGCACAACTCACAAAAAGGATAAATATTGCATGTTACTCAAGATATCAGGGATAGGAGATTCCAATGCATTGCCGTCAAGCCTCCTGGCAGAAAACCAGGGGGAACAGGGGGAGGGAAGGAAGGAGAGGAAAAACTAATGAGCGAAACGGCGGAAGGTTAAGGAAGGAGGAGGCAGGCGCAAGAGGAGGGAGCGGAACACACCGCGAAACTGCTCCACAAGGTCCGTCAGCGCTGGTCGGTTGCTTTGCAACCAGGGCAGGCGGTGAGCTATCTCACCAAGCTGAACATGCCCGCCCAGTTTGAAAACCCGCCGGTGGGAGGCCCGGACGGGGCGCTTTTCCCAGGGGACTGCTTTGCAACCCTGGAAGCCAGACAGGCTTGGAACTCAAGTGAAAGAGGATTGCTTTTGGACGTGTCAAAGGTGATCTTCTTCAATGTGGCGACCCTGGAGCCATGCTTGGAGCTTAGAGCCAGGCTTAGAGCTTAGCCACAGGCTTAGAGCTTAGAGCCAGGCTTAGAGCTTAGAGCCAGGCTTAGACCTCCAGTAGTGAAGATAGAAGTGTGAAGACAACTTAGTAGATAGTGGAAGTTAGGTTTACCGGGAGTGGGAAAAGTATCAAGAGGAAGAAGGGGTTGCATTGAAAGAAGCGAGGAAGAAATACAAGCAAGCATGCAATCACGAAGGTACGCCACCAACAGGGGTTGCACTACACGACAATTTAAGCAACCGTCATCTTCGTCATCAACAGGAGTCTCCGCTGGCTGCGCGTCGTCATCAGCGGTGTCTTTAGCATCAGTCTCCTCGTGCGCATCATCACCAGCGAGACCCTCTGCAACATCAGCATGTTCTCGGTTTGCATCAGCATCCTGACCGGCAGTCTCCGGCAGCTCTGGAAAAGCTTCGAAGGGCCCGGCCGATTTTGTTGGAGCGGGGCTTGAGGGTGGCTTCCCATTCACAGCACGATCCTTCACAGGTACGTCAGGTACGTCCTTCTCCTGAGCCTTGTCCGCGTTTTTCTTAGCCTTGCCTTTCCCCATTGTGCGATGATGATACAGACTTGGCAGCCTGAGTCTGGCTGATAAACAAGCTGTTCTGAGCACCTTCATCACGCCACATTTATGCCTTTTGTGCTTGAACGCAAACCTCTGCAGGTCCAGGCCATGCGGGAAAAACGATGTCCTGGCGTAGCACTCCGTCCCTTGATAACTGCTTGCTTTGTTGAAATCAGAATCTTGGGAAACGCTTGCATTGGTCTTGTCGCGAGTTTGTGATAACGCTGATGACACAGCAAACAGGTGGCCTCGTAGACATCCATGGAGAAGCCTTGGAGTCTGCCCTTGTCCTTGCAATGAAATCTGAGGTTGACATGATGTTAAGTTAAGCCTTGACGGTAGCCTGGAACTCACATAACAGGTGTATAGGTTCCCTTTATGAACACTAAAAAGACACCGTTGTGTAGAGCTTAAAGCCGCGCATCGTCTGAGACTTTCAATGTCAACAACAGGCACGAAATTGATGGACATTGGCTGAGTTAAAGCTCTCCGCCATGGCCATGGCTGTATAGGAGTCATTGTCATTGTCATTGTTCACGTCCGATGAGCTGATAGTCTTCACTGTGAATGTAACCGTGTAGGTTACCGTTTCCTCTGGGTGGATCGCGAAACTCGGAGGGGTCACAGCCACACTCACACCAGGCGGAGATTCCACCGTGCAATGGTAGGTCGAAGTTTCGCTCGCGACACTGGTAACCCGTCGTGTTACCGTCACCGACTTCGAAACTTTCGACACACTGATGGTCGGACGGTTGAGATTGCACGCGCGAATAGCTTTCACGCTCATCGAACGGAACTCCTTCTTCGCCTGCTTGGGGTCATTCCCAGCGAGGAAGTTTCTAAATTCCGTCTCATCCAAGTCGTACGTCAAGCCAGGGTCGAGAACACTCGTAGGGTTCACATGCCCTGCGCCTATCTCCCACGGGTTCGCATCGCGCTCGCCCTGGGCTTTCACCGTCATCCGAATCGGCTTATCATTGTTGTTTCGCGCGCTCGCCGTCGTCATTATCGCCGACATGACCTGGGCCGGAGTCCACCTCGGCTTTTGCTGGATTATAAGCGCCGCGATTTCCGCAACATGCGCTGTAGCCATGGACGTCCCGGAGAGTCTCTTAAAATAGTCTTTATGGTACGTGAGTGAGGGACTGATATCGGCACCCCAGAGCTTGACGCCAGGAGCGATGATGTCGGGTTTAAGGATGTCGTTAGTGGGCCGTCCGGGCACGGGAAGTGCGGTTAAGTCGGTTAGAGGACCAGTGGAGGAGAAATTCGCGAGAATAGGCGCCTCGTTGGGATCGCTAGGGGACTCGGAGAAGCTGAGACGAGGGGAGAGGGAGACGAGGGGCATGGGATTGAGGGAGGAGAGGAAGAGAGAGGAATAGGGTGGTGGGGACAAGGGAGTAGGGGGGAGAGGATTACATGAGAGTTGGAGGGGTGAGGAGTGAGGAAATGGTGGAAAATAAATGCAGAGAGGTAAGATGAGGAGGAGGAGAATTTGGCAGGGGGGTTACTGGGCTAGGCTTTCTAAGAAGGTACGACGGTAGGGGCAGGGGCGAGAAAGGGAAGACCACGCACAAGGGTTGAAGGAGGGGGAGCAAGGCCGTATGGGAATGGGGAGGGAATGGCACATCGGGTTAACAAGGGGAAATGGGGATGAGGAAAGTAAGTAGGGGCACAGGGGGAGGGGAGTGAAAAGGGGGAGGGGAGTGGAAAGTGGGAGGGGCCGTACGTTATGTCTTTGGTTTCCTTGGAAGAGACTGACTCGGTGGTGGCACCATCAGCAAGGGGCCCCGCACCATCAAGAACACCATCACCATGAGCAGCACCAGCACCAGCAGCATCAGCGCCACCACCAGCACCAGCACCAGCACCAGCACAAGCACTAGCACTAGCACCAGCACCAGTAGTAGCACTAGCACCAGCACCAGCACCAGTAGTAGCACTAGCACCAGCACCAGCACCAGTAGTAGCACTAGTACCAGCACCAGCACCAGTAGTAGCACTAGCACCAGCACCAGCACCACTGCTGCCACTGTCAGGGGAGACTACCGCATTGGCTAACATGTCTGTGTAGATGCTTATGGTGCTGATGGGGGGGTGAAGGGGGAGGGAAGGGGGTAAGTGGGGTGGGGGAAAGAGGAGGAAAGGGGAGATGACGGAGAGGGGTGAGGGGAAGGGGGATTAGGAATTTGGAGAGAGGAAGGTGAGTGGTGTTGGGTGTTAGTCGTGTGTAGTGGCTCTCTCATGGTGCGGAGTGGTCGACAGAAGAACGAGAGAGGGAGGCAGGTTGGGTTGCAGATGCACAAGTGGATGGAGAGGGAATATGGAAGAAGGATGAAGCGAGAGGGGAGTTGGGAGAGAGAGGAGAGTGGAGAAAGAAAGTGTACCTGGCTCCCACGGAGAGCGAAAAGCGGATAGGGGGGAGCGGAGAGGGGGGAGCGGAGAGGGGGGAGCGGAGAGGGGGGAGTGTACCTGGCTCCCACGGAGAGGTACCACGGTGAGAAGTTGTCAATCAGGCGGTACTCCCCCTTGGCCGGGTGCACACTGCCCGCATTGCCCGCTGCAAACACCACCACCACGCCCGCCTGGTGGCAGGTCAGGGGGAAGGGAGACGGGGAGAGGGGAGAGGTTGTGGGAAGGACACGGAACACCTGCAACACCTCGCAATTCCTCTTTTCCACTCCCTAACGCCCATGCCCTACCCTTTGAACCACTCTATCCTGCCAGTACCGGCCAGCAAAAATACTGCACACAGGAAACCTGCAGCACGCAACTTGGAACTCGCCAGCTCGGCAACTGCAGCTTAAAGCGTGCAGGTTAGAGGTGGGCGTGTGAGGTTGAAAGGTTGCAACATACGGCGAGTGCGTTGAGAGTCGCCATGTCGTCAAAATACGTGCCGGTGGGGTTCACGCCTCCGAGCGACAGGCCGATCACATCCACACCGTCCATCACAGCGGAATCGACGGCTGCGTTGACGTCCGCGGAGTTGGCCCACGAGTCGCCGTCGCTGTTCCGCCAAAAGACCTTGTACGCTGCGAGGCGCGCGCGCGGCGCCATGCCGCTGATTTTGATGTCGCCGTCTAGGACCACTCCCTTGTTGCCCGCCGCCGCACTGGGGGGGGGGAGAGGGGAAGGGGAAGAGGAGGGGAGGGGAAGGGAAAGAGGAAGAGGAGGAAAACGGATGGGGCTTTGGCAGATGCGGTCTGAATCTGACGGCACGAAGTTACGAGGGGAAGGACGAGAGGATGCGGATGGAAAGAAATGGACAGGGGTGATTGATGCAAGGTGCAGACTGAGGTTGGAGGGGAGAAATAGGGAAGGTAGAAAGGCGGAGGGAAGGGCTGGGAATGGAGGGAAGGGAGTGGGGAACGGAGTAGGGCAGCGAAGCACATACCTAGCGCACCACGTGCCATGGCCGTTCGTATCGCGGGCAGACGAGTAATCCTCGGTGGTGTCAATCTTTCCCTTGGTTTGCTTGTAGAAGGCGGCATTGAAATAGCGCGCGCCCACCAGCTTGCCGTTGCACTTCGTCCGCGGGAAGTCAGGCGTCGGCTCGCACTCCCCCGTGAACGTCTTCGGCGGGTCGCCGTACGGGTTTGCGGCCTGGTTGCGGTTGCGCGGAAGGCGATGCGCGGGGAGCGGGGAGAGGAAGGGCGGTTTGGGGTGATTTCAGGGTGCGCATCGGGGATAGAGACTGGCTTAGCGCGAGGGAATACGCGGGAAGATGAGGGAGGTTGGAGGCGAGGAGGGAAGGGGTGGAAGGCGGGTGTGAGGCGGGTGAAGGGTGTGAGGGTGATGAAGTTGGAAAGCCTGCAGTAAGCGCGCGTGGAGACTGCGACGCCTCAAGTTCCCAGGCCAGAATCACCATGTTTACAAAATGAGCGGAGCCCATTCAGCACGTTCCTCCTGTGCCGCATCTTTCACCGGACTCGACTCACTCACAGCGTGGCGCCACACGCCACACGCACCGTGTTGGCGAACGACGCGTGCTCGGGCCAGATCCCCGTGTCGACCACGCCAATCACCACGTCCTCCCCCGCAGATGCCTCCCCGCCCGCGGACTTCCAGAGAGTCTGCGGAAGGCGCAGGAACTGCGGGGAATGCGTGGTGGAGGGCGCCAGGCGCACGCTCTGCGTGACGGCCGCCACGTCCGGATGCGCCTGCAGGTCGCGGACCTCCTTGGGCGAGAGCACTGCTGCCAACCCGTTCTGCACGTGCGTGTAGCTGACAGGGATAAAGAGAGGGAGCGAGGGAGAGAGAAAGAGCGAGCGAGCCAGAGATAGAGCGAAGGTGGGAAGGGAATGGCATGTGTTGGTAAACGGATGCGGGTGATGTGTGGATGCGTGGATGGGTGGATGGAACCATGTCTGCGTGACGTCGCACGGACCGAGACCTTCAACTCGTGCAAGAGAGTCCGAACTGCCACTGCGGATGATCTTGGCACCTCTCACCCTGCGAGAGGGGCGTTGCTCACCTGTGGATGATCTTGCTCGCGGCAACGCCCGCGTCCTGCGCGATCTTCGTCTGCTGATTCTTTAAAAACTTCACAAACGCCTTCACGTTCGGCGCACGAACGTTCAGCTTCGTGCGTTTTCTCCACAGCTGCTTCGCCGCGTTTGTCGCCGATTTCGTTAGCTTATCGAGCGCGATCGCGGCGGTGGCGGCGGGCGCGGTGGCCGGGTAGCCGCCGATTCCGCCGGAATATGCGGCGACGGGTGGGTCTTTAAGGCGGACTATGTAGACCGGGTCAAATTCGCCTGGCGGGATGTGGGGCAGAGAGGCAGAGGGGCAGAGAGAATGGGAGAGGCGGAACAAATGGCGGGAGGGAAAGAAAATTAGCGGAGGGGGAAGAGGGATAGGGGCTGTCAAACATTATATATGTTGTGTTTGTTTAGGCTACAGTGGGTTAGCCTATAGGGGGTACACAATTCTAGGGTTAGGTACTTGTACTGATTTCACTGTTAGTTCAACCATTCCTGTCCGTTCATTCTGACATGGTTTCAGAGCAGGTCCGTCACTAGGACCGTTTTAGGGCCCACCGTTACCTACCTACCTACCTACCTACCGTGCGCCCTCGTGCGCCTACGCGCCCTCGTGCGCCTTCTACCTACCGCGCGTGAGCAGCCCGCCAGCCACCCGCACGCGGCTCGTCTTTTTTTTTTTTAACGCGCGCGACCCGCTGGCCGCCCGCGCGCGGTCGAAATTTTTTTTTTCGCGCGCGACCCGCTAGCCGCCCGCGCGCGGCCGTTTCTTCGCGCGCGGCCCCGCGCGCTGCCCGCAAGCTGCTCGCGCGCTGCCTGTGCGCCGCTGCCCGCGCGCCTGTGCGCTCGCTGCCGCGCTCGCTGACGCGCCCACTGCTGCAGCTGCCCGTCACCTGCTCCGCGCCCGCGCGCCGCTGCCGCTGCCGCTGCCGCTGCCGCTGCCCGTGCGCCGCTGCCGCTGCCGTTCGGTCGCGCGCCGCTGCAGCTCCTGCTGTCGCGCCCGCTGCTGCTGCCGCCCGTCGACAGCTGCCGCCTGTGCGCCCGTGCGCCACTGCTGCTGCCGCTGCCCGCGCGCCGCTGCCTCTGCTCTAAGCCCGCGCGCTGCTGCCGCCCGTGCGCCGCCGCAGCTCCTGCTGCCGCGCTCCCTACTACTGCCGCCCGTGCGCCATTACCGACCGTCAACCCCGCCCGCGCCTCTCCTAGTGGCCCCGCCGGCCCCGTAGACCCTACGCACACCTTTCAAGTGGCCTTGTTACTACTGCTACTACTGCTACTGTCACTATGGCTAGTCCTACCGTACTCGCTTTCGATGCCGAGGGCCGTCCAGTGAAGTTCGAAACCTGGCTCGATGACCTCCACCTTTTCCTACAGCTCACTGCCAAGGAGGATATCTCACTGTACGACCACGCCCTAGGCCATGCTACTGCCCTTGACACTTCTGCTGACAGCACTCTGCGCTCCCAGTGGCAGACTCGTGACGCGCACGCTCGCTTCGCTATTCGCAACTCCCTGCCGCTAGACGAACGCGAGCACTTCGGCCAGTGCAAGACTGCTAAGGAACTCTACACAGCCGTAGTTGCTCGTTACTCCTCACCGGCTTCTGCTACACTAGGCCGCCTCTCACTGCCCTACCTGTTCCCCGATCTGGCCTCCTTTCACACTGTTGCTGACCTCATCACCCACCTCAAGACTAGTGAGGCCCGCTTTCGCGCTGCTATGCCTGCCGAGTTCCTTGCTACCAACCCCCCCCCCGCTCTGGCTCACTCTCTACCACATTGTTACCCGCCTCCTTGACTCTCTGCGCGCAGTTAGTGATTCCTTTCTAGCTCGCTTCCCTACTGAGCTCACCATTGCCCTCCTCGAGAAGGACCTACTTGCAGCTGAGGCGAGCATCGTTGCCGTAGGTGCCTCTCGTGGCGAGCCCCGCACCCCTTCTTTGAGGGGTGTTCCCCTTCCCCCCTTCTCCCCTCTGTCGCCTCTGCTGCTGCTGTCGACCTCCTTGGTGCTGAGAAGGTCGGGACCGCGTCTGCTCCGAGCGGGCGCCGCAGGAGCAAGGGGGGCAAGGGTGGAGGTGGTGGCAGGGGAGGCGGGGGTGGTGGCGGTGGGGGTGGAGGTGGGACTGGAGAGGCTAGTGGCGGCAGTGGGGGTGGTGACAGCAGCGGCGGGAGCAGTGGAAGGGGCGGAGGCGGCAGCGGAGGCAGAGGTGGTCGTGGCGGCGGCAGGGGTGGAGGTGGCCGAGGCGGTGACGGCGGCGGTGGTGGTCGTGGAGGCGCTGGCGGTGGCCAGAGCCAACAGCACGTCCCGTCGCTCCAGGAGGCACGTGAGTGGTACTCGCAGCGGGTGGCTTTACCTGCACGTACGTCATCCGCACTGGTGACCGCACTGGCCAGACGTGTGGGAGGCCGCACCCCACGCACCGCTGTTTCTCGCGCCTTACCGACGCTTGGCGCGCTCAGTTCCCTGGCGGCGCTGAGCTTCCCCGCTGGGGTGATCTGGAGAGGAAGGGAGTTGATATCTGGGCCTTAGACTTTGATGCTATTCTCACTGCCATGTATGCGATGTTTACTAGTGGAGAGGGTGCTCAGTACTTGCGTGTTCCGCCCGACCCGGACATTCTGACCTGTCCGGCTGCCGCTCTAGGTGCTAGTGAGTCTGCTGCCCCAGGTCCTGGTGAGGCTGCTGCTCTAGGTGCTCGTGAGTCGGTCTCCCCTGGTACTGAGTCGACTGCAGCACTTCACACCTTCACACTGGACTCTGGTGCTTCTCGCTGTTTCTTTCGTGACCGCACTGTCCTTGAGCCACTCGCTCGGCGAGTTGCTGTCTCCCTCGCTGACCCCTCTGGGGGTCCGGTCATTGCGACCTCCTCCACTCTCCTTCCTTGTCCTGCGGTCCCGTCAGGCACACTGTCAGGTCTCTACCTCCCCTCGTTCTCTACGAACTTGGTGGCAGGTCGTGCGCTCCAGGACGGGGGTGTTCACCTGTTCACCCCTGCATACGAGCGCGTGACACACTGCACGTGTGCTCGGACGGGCCGTCACTTGGCTACCTTCACTCGGCAGCCGGGGTCGGACCTATACACACTGACCACTGAGTCCCCTTAGGTAGCTGCGTCCGCGTCTGCGTCTGCGTCAGGTCAGCTGTCCGCCCCCTGCTCGTGTCGCTCTCTGGCGCATGAGACTGTCCTCTGGCACCACCGCCTTGGTCACCCGTCTGTGCAGCGCCTTCGGGCCATGCACAAACGGGACCTTGTTGCTGGTCGTCCCAGGGTTCTCCCTCCCCTCCCACCCTCGCCTGCTCCTCCCTGTCTTCCCTGTGTCGAGGGGCGGCAGCGCGCCGCTCCTCACTCCTCCTCCTTTCCCCCGACGACTGCTCCCTTGCAGACGCTCCACATGGACGTGTGGGGCCCAGCCCGCGTCCGTGGTCAGGGTCAGGAGAGGTACTTCCTGATTGTTGTTGACGACTTCTCGCGCTACACCACGGTCTTCCCCTTGCGCACCAAGGGTGACGTCCCTGATGTCTTGATCCCTTGGATCCGCAGATCTCGTCTCCAGCTCAGTGAGCGTTTCCGCTCCGACTTCCCTGTCCTGCGTCTGCACTCTGACAGAGGTGGGGAGTTTTCCTCTGGCCTCTTGGAGGCCTTCTGTCAGCAGGAGGGCATTGAGCAGTCGTTCACGCTTCCGGTCTCTCCACAGCAGAATGAGGTTGCTGAGCGCCGCATTGGCTTGGTCATGGAGGTCGCTCGTACCTCCTTGGTTCATGCCGCTGCCCCCCACTTTCTGTGGCCGTTTGCAGTCCGATACGCTGCGCATCAGCTCAACCTCTGGCCCCGTGTCTCCTTACCGGAGACTTCTCCGACACTGCGTTGGACGGGAGAGGCTGGCGATGCGTCGCGTTTTCGGGTCTGGGGATCCCGAGCTTTTGTTCGCGACACGTCCGCGGACAAACTCTCCCGTCGCGCTGTCCCCTGTGTCTTCCTTGGCTTTGTCCCGGACGCGCCTGGTTGGCAGTTCTACCACGCCACCTCGCGTCGTGTCCTGGCCTCTCAGAACGTCACTTTTGACGAGTCCGTCCCCTACTACCGCCTCTTCCCCTACCGCACTGCCCCACTCCCCCCCCCGCCTCTCTTCCTGGCTCCAAGTGCTGAGGTACCAGACCCCCTCCCCCCTCAGGGTGCCGCTCCCTCAGGTGTGTCCCAGGTAGACTCGGGTGAGCCTGTCGAGGTAGCTGTTGACTCTCGTCCTGCTGGGGGTGCTGAGCCTGGGGGTGCTGAGCCTGGGGGTGCTGCGTCTGGGGGTGCTGAGCCTGGGAGTGCTGAGTCTGGAGGTGCGGAGCCTGGGGGTAGTGAGCCTGACGGTGCTGAGTCTGCGGGTGCGGAGCCTGGGGGTGCTGAGTCTGGGGGTACTACACCAGGAGGAGCCCTCTCCTCACAGCGGCTGCAGGAGCGGTACCTACAGTACTGCCGCCTCCGGAGAGGTACGGCTGGAGCTGGTCGCGGTGCTTCCCCTCCTGGCCGGGAGCTCCCCCCCCTCGAGCAGATCCGAGAGTGGTACACGAGGCGCTGCAGTCTTCGGAGTGGTGCTCCTGGTGCTGCGGACCCGGACGTTGGAGCTGCTGCTGGTGCTGCGGACCCGGACGTTGGAGCTGCTGCTGGTGCTGCGGACCCGACTGGTGGAGCTGCTGCTGGTGCTGAGGACCCGCGCGGTGGCGCGGCCACTGGTGCTGAGGACCCGAGCGGTGGCGCTACTGCTAGTGCTGAGGACCCGGACGTTGGAGCTGCTGCTGGTGCTGAGGACCCGGCTGGTGGAGTTCCTGCTGGTGCTGAGGACCCGGCTGGTGGAGCTGCTGCTGGTACTACGGACCCGAGCGGTGGAGCTGCTGCTGGTACTGAGGACCCGGGCGGTGGAGCTGCTGCTGGTGCTGAGGACCCTGGCGCTGGTGTCTCTGCTGCTTCTGGGGACGCTACGCGGCCACGACCTTACTTCGTACCGCTCCTTCAGCAGGTTCTTGGTCAGGCTCCTCCTCCTCGTCCTCCTCCCTCCGTAGAGTGTCCTCCGCCTGTCCAGTCGCAGTCACAGTTACCGCCTGCCTCGCCTCTTCCTGGTCCCTCTCCTTACACTGGTCCCACAGGAGGTCTTGCAGAGCGTCGTGAGCCTGCGTCTCGTCCTACGTCGCCTGTTCGTACTGCTCGCACTGGTCGTCGTGTCCCACATGAGCGTCCTCCTCCTGTCCCTGGCACTCACTACATGACTCTGCGTCCCTCCACTGCTCCTCAGCATGTTCCGCTGCCGTCTCCTCCTGCGTCCTCTCTGCCTACTCTTCCTGATCCGGAGTCTGACTCCCGTCGTGCTGCCAGTCCCACTATCACCCGTCTCCTCGCTACTGTTGTCACTGACCCTACCTTTGAGTCCTCTGCTGCGTCTGCTCTGGTCGCTGAGTTGATAGACTTTGCTGCCCGGTGTCGTCTAGACTACGCCACTAGCCTTGTTGCTGAATCTGAGTCTGAGTCTGTCTGTCCTCCGTCCGTCGGGGGTGAGTGTGCTCTTGGCACGGACGTCCTTGAGGACAGTCAGGAGGAGTTCCAGTGCTTTGCTGCTGCTTTGCCCCACCTCGTGTCCATGCTAGTTGCCCCTGAGGGAGACCCGGATGCACCAGACATCCCGACCCCGCGCACTTACGCTGAGGCGATGGCGGGTCCCTACTCCTCTCAGTGGCAGACAGCCATGGACGCAGAGATGGCTTCCTGGAAGTCCACACGCACCTACGTCGACGAGGTTCCCCCACCTGGGGCGAACATCGTCAGTGGCATGTGGATTTTCAGGGTGAAGCGGCCACCGGGTTCTCCTCCTGTCTTCAAGGCGCGCTACGTGGCCCGAGGCTTCAGTCAGCGAGAGGGAGTTGACTTCTTCCAGACCTTCTCCCCCACCCCGAAGATGGCCACTCTTTGGGTGCTGCTGCACATAGCCGCTCAGCGCGACTACGAGCTTCACTCACTTGACTTCAGCACTGCTTTCTTGCAGGGCAGCCTGCACGAGGAGATCTGGCTGCGCCGCCCTCCTGGCTTCACTGGGTCAGTTCCTCCTGGTACCAAGTGGAGGCTCCAGCGGCCGGTCTACGGTCTCCGCCAGGCACCGCGTGAGTGGCACGACACACTGAGGACGACACTTGCAGCTCTTGGGTTCGCTCCCTCTACTGCTGACCCGTCACTGTTTCTACGCACAGACACCTCGCTGCCGCCGTTCTACATCCTCGTGTACGTCGACGACTTGGTCTTTGCCACTGCTGACACCGCGGCACTCGCCCACGTGAAGTCGGAGCTGCAGAGGAGACACACGTGCACAGACCTGGGTGAACTGACAAGCTATCTTGGCTTGCGGATCACCCGGGACAGAGCACGGTGCACCATCACCTTGACTCAGTCACACATGGTGCAGCAGATCCTTCAGCGCTTCCGCTTCACGTACTCCTCGCCTCAGTCCACTCCTCTGTCTACCGGTCACTCGCTCTCAGCTCTGCCTTCGGATGAGTCCGTAGAGTCGAGTGGCCCGTATCCAAAGCTTGTGGGCTGCCTCATGTACCTGATGACCTGCACTCGACCTGACCTTGCATACCCTCTTAGCATCCTTGCACGCTATGTCGCTCCTGGCCGTCATAGGAAGGAGCACATGGATGCCGCTAAGAGGGTGTTGCGCTACTTGTGCAGTACGTCGGGCATGGGGCTAGTGCTTGGAGGGCGAGACCGAGTTGTACTTACTGGACACTCAGACGCTTCTTGGGCGGACGACCAGGCTACTCAGCGGTCGTCTCAGGGTTACACCTTCAGCCTTGGCTCCGGCTCAGTTTCTTGGCGTTCTACACGCTCTTCTTCTGTTCTCAGCCCCAGTTGTGAGGCTGAG